GAGGTTTTGAATGCATGTGCATTCAGCAAACTCTGTTTTGGTAGCATTTAAATCCTCCACTATAGAGAAGCCTCCTGGATACAGGTCAGTGAATAAAACCAGAGGGGGGAAGAGAGGAGAGAAAGACTCGGAGGAAAGTGGAATGAGAAATGAGAGAAGTGAAGCTCAGAAGGTGATAAAAACTGGGCCGCTGTAAACGAACAGCCGGAAGAACTGCTCAAGGGTGCACAAAAAAAAACCTTTCACAGTCCAGTCAGCCATTCAGATGCATGACCGGGCTGTTGCTCCAATGCTTTGCTGCATGTGCTTCAGACATAAATGCCTGCATTTCATAATCATGGCATTAGTCTACATAGTTAAAAAAAAATGCCGTTGGTCCACATTCAAGAAGTACTTTCGACTGTGACATTTAAAGGTGCAAAAAGGAAATCAATAACGATAACAGAAACAAGTTAAAATGCAGTCCGCTCATTCTAGTTTTCAGAAAAAGTGACATTTCCAAGCCTCAACATATGCAGTTATGTGACACAGGTGAACAGTTTCCTCAGTGTGCAGAAAGAACGTTACTAAAATAGACGTTTGCAGCAGTCCCCAGACAGAACGAGACCACATCATGCTGCAGAGTTAGCTTGAGACAAAACGCAGTCGATAAATCATATAAACTGCATATGCAGTTAAAAGTGAAAGTTTACATAAACAAAAAAAACACATGGACCTTTTTTTCTTAATGAAGCTAATCAGACCAACTTTCTCTTGATTCAGGTCTGTTAGAACTACAAACATAATTTCTATTTGCTAATTACCACAACAATGAAAGAAGAAATATGGAAGTGATCAATTTGCTAATCAGAAGTTTACACACATTTCCTCGGCTTTACTTTTGAACTAGATGACTGGGATCAAATGTTTTAAGTATTTTTTGTTTCTAAACTATCTCACTGTGACTCTAGCTTCATGTTTAGGGAAGATGAACTCGAGCCCCCAGTTTTCTTCCTTTATTTTGTCCCATATTTAAGCTCCATCTTTACTTTCATTGACTTCGATCTCCCAGCTGAGGAAAAACTTTCATGTCCTACTTAGAGGCCAGTGACTCTGAATGACCAAGAAATCTGATCTTGACCAAGCAGCTTTAATACTGCAAAAAAAAAAAAAAAAAAAAACTACATGAACAATTGCATTGCTGAAAAAAATCTGGTTAAAATATTAAAAAAAAAAAAAAAAACAGTTTTTACTCATGAAATCCAGCTTTTACATTGAGGTGGCAGGACTGCTCAACTTTGTTTTTGAAGCAATCCTTTCCTTTAGATTTTCAAGGTTAAAATTTGCTTGTTCAACAATTATAGTTGTGACAAATCTGCTCAGGCTATAGCATGACAGAAAGGCTGGTGGCTTTAAGCTGCCGCACCGACTAGTGACAGATCAGTTTTACATAAAACGCCCCAAAGTCTCGAGGCGTTTCCTCTTGGTGAGAACGCTGCTGCTGGGGAGGATGAGATATGTAACAGTCACGTTCTGCTAGCTGTGACTGGACTGCTGATGATCATCACCACAGAGACATGTGGAGAGTGTGAATGCAAGTTTGTGTTGCACACTGATTCATTGTTTTACTGATGTACTGGGCTTCCGATTTCCTTCTGTATTAGCTAGGCATTCCATAAAAATAAACAAAAATATGATACTTGAACCACATCTTTTGCCTTGTATTTCAGTAGAAAGACAAGTGTAAATGTTTGTTTTCCAAAAAATAATGAAAACACGCAGCAAAAGTTTAAAGCTCTACATCTAGTTTGGCACTGAGCAGTTGTTCATTCTCTCATATAAAGTTTGGGATGTCAGCCGGGAGCAAATATCAGCTGACTTTGCAGTTAAGTGTCTTTCATTCTTGCTGATATTTAACACAAGCTGGTTTTATTAACCGCTAATTGGTGCAGGTTTAATCTTTGATCAGTAATGGAGCCCCCATGTAAACAGTGGAAAAGCAGCGGAGCAATAATGGTGAAAATGAGGTCATCTAATTGGGACAGCTAAATATATTTAGCAGGGTACACCCTCTCCTTGGGTGGTGATACTCGGTGCAGGAGTCACTGCTGCAACAGATTTAGAAAGCTCAGTGTAATGAGTTCATTACATCTTTGTGATGACCATAGACTTTGGGTTTATTGCTGACCCCACTATAGTTTAATAAAATAAATGACCCAATGATTAGGTGGTCAGACAAATATTCAGACAAATCAAGGCAAACAAATAAAACGTGGCTTTATTTGTTCACTGTAGCTCTGCATCGACTCAGGGTCAGCATATAGATTTTGGCTTGATCACAAAGATGTCAAACTCTCAAAGATTTCCAGCCCTAGTTGTTGACACTCCTCATAAAGATGCATAAATAAGTTATTAAAATAATTTAAGTTTTTATTGTAGTTTTTATTGTAGCAACACTATTCTGAAGGTAGTATTTCAGAATAATCCTATCGTTTTCATGTATAGTTTTTGACTTGTAGGACAGACAAAAAGGTCTGTGAACATTCTGGTTTATGCAATCTCTTGGACTTCATTCTACAACTTCTCTACAATACTTGGGTTAGGATTGGAAGGCCATGGAAAAAAATGTATACTTTGTGGCTGGCAAGAAAATTAATGCATTAATGTCATCATTGTCTTACAAAAAGATCATTATCTTTTTAGTAATCACTAATCATTAAATTACTTGATATATCCAGTTATTTCACTTTTACTGGTTAACTTCTCCAGAATTTTATTCCATGCTGATGCACAGTAACACTGTCCTAGTCCAAGTCCCAGTAGACTGTAGCACACTTCTCATTCGACAGGAGGACAGAAAAAGCTTTTGTCAAGTATTGGTCTAATGTAAAGGTCTCATCTAATGACTGCTATTGTTGACCTTTTGACCCCAGAATTTCACTTTTTGCTGTCGTTCTTCAGCAAAAATTTAATGTATTGCAATCAAAAATAAAAAGAAGATAAATGTTTGACCTTATAAAGATCTTAGTACTCTTTACTAGGGGTGCCACTGAATTTGGTCAGCAGCATATAATCGTACTTCATTGCATACATAAAGTGGTTATTTTGTTGCAGCTATTTGCTTTGTTTTAGATGACACCGGGAGATAGATTTTAAAAACATAAAATAAATATGAAACATATTTGATATTTTATGTGAATTTACATAATTCCAGGCTTGCTTTAAAAAAAAATGCATGAAAAAATTAAATAAACTGCAATACTGCATTTGTATTTTTGGGGGATTACAAATTAATTTATCTTCTTTCCACATTTTCCCTAAACAGTTGGATTGTTTTAATCTTTAAAGTAGAGACTGAAAAACAGCCTCTTTGTTGCAATTAACAGACCCAGGAGAGTGAAAGAATGGTCTTTTTTCAGCAGTTTTCTCTTTGTGCCTAATTAGGGTGACCTCTTCAGCAGGAGAAACAGAGAGTTAGCCACTCTCTTATTTGTTCTCTGTTTGGAGTGAGATTTCTAAGAATGAATATTGAGTTTCAGTGAAAAGAAAATTAATGCATTAATGTCATCATTGTCTTACAAGCTTCTGTCAGATGTAACAGAAGCTTAATGGCATTCTGCAGTCTTCACTATTTTCATGATTTGCTGTTTGTGCTTAGCTTTTCTTCTTTAATTAAAAGTTTTTGAATTTGTCATTGACAAATCATACATAGAAGTCTTTGACATTTTGCTTCAGACTCAGTCAGACCTAGAAAGACCACCAGAACCCTTGCTGCATGCACACATTGATTATGAATGTGAAATACGATATTTGGTCAATAAAATGAAATGTTGTCAGAGTTTGTTCTGGCATAAGCTACAGCATAGTCGTGGGGATATCCAGTCTCTAAGCATGAGCTTAGAGAGTTTTAATCCTGGGCAAAGCCAGGAAGCAAACCAGCAAAAGTATCATCAGAGAAAGTTCTGGTAATATCGATGGACAGCAACGGCATGGCAACACCATCTTTTAGCACATTCTAGTAACTAGTAAAACATTTTTGTTTTAGTTTGGAGTAAACTCAACCAAATCAGTTGAGCTTGAACAAAGTTAGATCTTACTGCAGGATTGTCACCTTAAAAACCAGAAATAAAATTTAATCAGCTGCTACTACATTCAGCCCAAAAGGTAAGAATAGAACTGCTTGACTAAAGACAATCTGAGAAAAATACTTTACAATAATGCCAGGAGACATCCATCTATTTTCTATACCTGCTTTTAACTCTGGAAGAATCTCAGTCTGTTTACCACAGCTCATTATTGCTTTACCTGAACTAAGAGATGACTTCCAGTTTCTTAAAAAATTCACTCTTGACAAGAAATTTGAAAACTTCTCTGGACCATTGTTAGAGGAAATTGCTCATTAGATTGATTACCCAGCAAGACACATGTCTACATCAATAACACTAACTTATTCCAGATTTGATCAATATACATTTACAGGCAGCATACCAATTTACTGAGCAGAGTGCAGTGTTGAAGAAACAGCAGTCTCTGGATTACTCAGAAGAGCAGTTTATTCTTGACATGAGTTTACATGAGATATTTATTGTCTTTGCATGATAAATACCAGTGGCCAGAAACGTTGTACTGTGGCTTTTATCCCCGAGTTGATTTTGGTAGGTCACCAGAATGACAGTCTGGTAACAATGACATGATAAAGCAAGACAGAATAAATATTGGGTTGGTGCATTAAAAGTCCTTACAAAAAAGAGAGCACAGTTTCTTTGTCTTCAGAGATGTGCTAAAGACTATATTTAACAGACTTTGGCACAATTACTTTGCACATTTAGTGGTGAAAAGGTTAGAATTAACTAGATTACTGTTAAAAGAAATCTTGAGTCAGATGATTTTGGTTTTGTGAAACAAAAAAGGTTAAAAAGTATCCATGTAAATCACTTTGAGTTACAGCAGGAATTAAATTGATCAGTTTGCTTAAAAATTCACAAAAAAATGATGTCTTAACGTGATTTTGCTTTTTTCAGTTTGTTCACAGTTCTCAAGAGGTGTCTACGCCATCTTTGGATTTTATGATAAGAAGTCTGTCAACACCATCACGTCGTTTTGTGGCACGCTACATGTGTCCTTCATAACGCCCAGCTTCCCTCTGGACGGAAACCAGCAGTTCGTCATCCAGATGCGGCCTGATATCAAGGGGCCCCTCCTCAGCCTGATCGAGTACTACAAGTGGGACAAGTTCGCCTATCTGTATGACAGCGATCGAGGTAAGTCTCAAACAAAAACTCTTAAAGAACAACTTGAGGGATTTATTTCAGAATTGTTTTTGGTTCAAGGCTTGAAGCAAAAACAATTGGTTCAAGCAAATCCCAGTTCAGTGACTGGAATTTGCTGCAATGATTATATGCAACAATTCAGCTGCTGAAGAAAACACTTAAGAATCCAACAAACACTGTAAGGGTGAAGCTAAAGGGCATGTTGGATCCTGATAATCAGCTTGTCAAGTGTAATCAGCTACAGCAGGTCATGTGTTTTAGGGTGTTTTTATGTAACGTGGGTGAAGAGGTGCAGCCAGAGACTTGATACCACACAGTGGAGATAAAATGACCTGCAGCTCTTTATTTCCATACCTGCTCCAAACGGTGGCATTTGTTTACATCTCCTCTGTATATAAAGTGAACATGCTCTTTCACCACAAAAGCCTGTTTTCATGGTAAAATAAAATGAAAAAAAAAAATGCAATCTCCCTCCTACATTACAATTGTTTGGAGACTGCTGTTTGCTTTACTTTGTACAGCTTCATAAGATTCATGAAGCAGACTGAGCAAAAAGCCTGCAAACCAGAAAATCTTACTTAATAAATAAAGGTGGATTTATTTGCATAATATTCCTCTTTGTTTGTCCTCTCTCTGGTCCGTTCTCTCACCTCACTGGAAATATGTTTGAGTTCTTATCCCTCTGGATGTGAAGCATCTGTTTACTCAGTCCAACTCAGCATACTTGAATATTACCTGTGGTGTCCTACAAGGCTCAGTAATGGGTCCAACCTGTTTATTATGTGTATTAATGACTTGAGTACCATTATTGATGTCACAGGAATAACTGAACATGCTATGTTCAGTGCTCTCTGAAGATCTGTGTGTGTCTTGGACAAGTCTTTTGATTATTCTTTCGAATCCTTTGATTATTCTTTTTTCTGTAAGAAAATCATTTGAGAGGCTCTTGGCTTTGTTTTGGTGAAATTATCTTCATTTTAGTTTTCAGTGGCATTCACACATTTAGGTGTTTAGAAAATCATTAGTAACCTTAATCATTAGCATGCTTTTTAAAATCATATTTGAAAGTTGTTGTTTTTTCTTAACTTTTCATTGTAAACCTTTTTGTGGATTATTAATATTAAACCAGCTGATATTGATTTGCACTTAGCAGCATTGATTCTTTCAAACTACTGCCTGATGTCAGCTGATTTCTTGGCTTTCTAGACATTTTTACACATCTTTTATACCTTCAAATTAATTTGTGTACTACTTTGTGTTTGTATGTGTTTTACTTGGATTGTTGCTGACAGTCTGGTGTGAATTATATTCCAACAGCTTGCATTTACATAAGGTGGTAGATTAAAACAGTTATATACTCAATATTCACACAAAATAAATCTATATTTATGAATCAAACTACTTCCGTCAGAAGCAGGTGTACCTGAGGTTACTGACCTGAATAAGATCATAGATTGAATATCTAAAGTAGATGAAAAGAAATTTCCCTTCAAACTAACATCCAGAGTTATTTGATATATAGATCAAATCTGGCACTATTCTTTGATCCTTTTCATCAGAGGTTGATTTTTATTTCACACTGATTGTGTCAAAATCTGAAAGTAAGATTGGATTTCTTTGAACACTCTTTGAAAGGTTTATCAGACAGAGGAGGCTTTTGTAGGCTGAAACGACTGAATCTTTTTTAAACCCACTAGAAATAAGACATAATACAAAGAAGACAAGAGAATACAAAAAGTGAATGGGTAAGAAAGCTGCACATAATAACCTGTAATAAAGATGACAGAAAAATTGCTCTAGTAAGTTATCTCACTTTACTGCGTCATGCAACTCATTTTCTGCTGCCATCTCCTAATTCTTCTGCAGAAAAATACATTCTTCTCTAGTAAAGACCGACTAGCCTGTAATAAAAAGCGAAACTCATTTGCATACATAGTGTCATTTTTTGACAGTGCTACTGTGATAAGAAACATTGAATAAAGACTTAATTTATGTTCTGTTCTTGTGGAGAACATTGAGTTTTAGTTTCTTTGCACTTTTCTTTTTTGGTTTTCCCAGGTTTTGTGCTTCTTATTACAGAGATGAAAGTGGTTATTTTTAGTTTGTTAGGAAAATGTTTCAGGATTGTTTTTGAAAAAATGCGTATCTCACAATATGCAAAATGCATATCTTACAAAATCCTACTAAATAAATAAAGGTGGATTTGTTTGGCCGTAAATACCAAACAAAGCCGTTGTATATCCGTTGCTGCAGGCTTCACATGCCTTTGCTGCATGTGCAAATGCTTCCAATTCAGAAATGTGACATAAAGAAAGATCTGTTCTGAAAAGCACTTCAAGCAACACTCAGTCCACATTTAATGGCTTCATAACTGTTCTCTAACGACCTGTGATCAATATCACCAATGATTTAACACAGAAACCAGTTGGTGATGGGAATATTCATTCGTTGATATGGATTTCTCCTTTATGTTAGTAACTGTAGACGGAGATTTTTATATTGAATTTAACGCTATTATCATTATTATCTAAAGGGTTCTTTTATTAAATTCCATTCTTTGTTGTGAAATGATTAATTGGAGAGTGAATCTGGAATAAAGCATAACATTTCAGTTGTGTGAAGCCAAGATAGTAGTGAATCGCCGTCTCGGTTATACCAGAGCTGACACATCGGCAGCCACAGCTTCTCATAACGAAAATCAATTGTTTGTAATTATGCGCACGTCTCTCTTTTCCTGATACAACTCTATAAGTTTTAATGTTTGCTTACAAAGCAAAGTCGATGTCATGCAATAATAATAATAATAATAATTGCCTAAAAATCCTGAGTGGATTATTACAATTAAAAAGAAAATGTTTTATCAGCTCTGTAGAGGAGGGTAGAACTATGGCCTCGTACAAAAAAATGACACTAATTGCTCCCATCTTCTTGTTATTAGTTCAAACTGCTTTGTGAATCCTTTGTACAAATAAAACAACGGATTCAGCAAAACATCAACAGAAATGCAGGCGATGGTCCTGCTTCCTGAATTCCCTCATCAGTAGCTTAAGGTAAGTTTAGGAAAATCAGTTCTCACAAGTTGTATTGCTACATGTGGAGACTGAATGGAGCTCACTGAGCTGCAGACAGATTAGGAGGGATCAGCTTACAATCTTTATCATTTACATCACTTAAATTCTCCCACTGAGACGTATCGCCTTAGAGTCTTTGAGTTCCTTTTATTGAACATAGTAAAGCCCTTTTGTTTCCTAACCTGTGCTTGTTGTCTAGTCTCTCTGGTACTTTTCCTCCTCTGTTCTCATTGAGTGTCTTCCCTGGCTGCCTACCTTCCACTTAACAGAGGATCACAGACAGCTGTGCTCTAAAATCAGAGGAACAAGCAGTTTTAGATCTTCTCAAGCTGATGCTAGCAATGACCTGATCTCCCTACTGTATGTCCAAGGAAGCACTAAGGAGCCTGTTGTGCATATTTCATCAGTGCATGGCTGTCTAATTAGGTCAGTGTGATCCTCTCATTCCCATGGCAACCAAAGTGTAGCGAGAGAGGAGGAGAGAGAGCGACAGAGGGAGATTGTATGTGGCCGAGCCGGCTGGTAAATGAAGTGAGCGTGTCTGCGTGTGGGTGTTTCTCAAGAAAACAGTGAGGAGGCATTGGAGTTACTAAAGGTCATGATGAATTTGATTTGCACTTCCCAACTAATGGATGAACTAAATCATTTTTGCTTCAGGGTTTTTTTTTTTTCTAAATTTCTTTGACTCTCAAATAACCATATATGGAGGTAACGCCATCTGCAAAAGCATTCCAGTAAACAGGTGTGACAAAGTAAGAGTGGGATAAATTCATAATTCAGTTTCTTTGCTGGAATGTTCTCTTAACAAATTGATGGTTTTTACTGCTAGTGAGTGAAGTTGCAGTTTGTTCTTGTTCCCAGCTCATTAAACAGTTCTGCTGTGCAGAAACTGGGAGAGCAAAAGACATGCACAAGATGTTACTATCCATATGCGTGTCTATTACTTTACTTTTTGATATAGGAAAACACATGGCTTTATTAAAATGGTATTTGGTTGTTTGAGAGTTTTTATCAATACATCAACAGCTAATTTGGGTATGGATTATGTTATTTCTCTAAATATTAACATTGCAATGGAATATTTAGTAAAATATTTTAACAGTCTTGATTTTTCAATATTAAATAATACCTAGTTTGTATGGCAAACTTTTTGTGCCAGATTTTCCTTTCTGATAATCTTAAGGGTGTCTCGATGCGCGATATATTGTCAGATGATTTCAGTGATCTGGTCTGTCTGGACGGGCGTTGAAATAGAAAATATCCAACATACTGGATTGTCTTGGCTTGATGTTTGGTGATCTCCAAAGACAAATCTAACAATATATTGAAATGTTGCTTCTTCCCAGTCAGCCATGTTTGTTTGGAGAAGGTTTGCTAAGTTTCCTGTCTGACATCTGAATGTTTTAAACTGAAATATATTCTGATGTGGTGGGAGGCTCCTGCCATGTTGCTCGACTTTACACATGGAGATGTTACAGTAGAGGGTTGACTGTAACCCTCTCTGACACGTCAGTCCTTTCAAAAATCACACAGCAATAGTTTGAAGCTGACCAACTAATGGCTTTAAGTGTTTTTATGAAACTGGCTGGAGTGTCTTCAGACATTTCTTTGAGTTACAAAGAGTTTCATTCATGAAATCGAAGAATTAAAATTTTAAATATTTGGAGTTATAAAGAAGTGATGTTTGTATTTGAGGTATTTTTATACAAGTAACTCAAATATTTCATTTTTGCAAAATACTGTACGGCATTGCATGAGAAATTGCAACAAAGACGTTTCAGTTTTTCTATAAATAATGTTTTTGATGCTCTGTGAAGGAATGGGGAGCTGACCAGGATGTACTTCGCCTCTCTCAGTCACGCTCACAACATTTATCTAAAATTACAATCCAGGTTTAATGTGGTGTTAAACCTTTGCTAATATCTTGTTTTTATTATTGTTTCTGTAAGTCATTCTGAACTGTAATTACCACATTTTTAAGCTTTAATAAAACTGCCAAATTTAACTACACCATGATGACCCCACGGTAACCATGATGTACCGCCCTCTCAGATAAAACTGCAAGCCTCAGTTTTCTTCACCAATGCCACGCTTTTATGGCTGTATCGGATGAAATTGATTACATCTGTATTTCACCTCACCATGGTGAGTTGGAGTGAAACGGCCAAGCCCTTCATCAAACCACTCTCTAACTGCTCCCTGTTGGCCAACAGTCAATACCAGCAAAGATTTACCAAGGAAACTAGTTGTTGATAGGAATATATGTTTATGAATTCTGTTCAGTGAATGTATACTGAAATTAAGTTTTTTTTATTATTTTGATTATGTATATGTCTCTAAACAGTTATCTTTTTTATGTTACATTAACAAAATTTCTCTTTTCTTGTGAAATGATTACGCGGATCAGAAATGAAGTGGTTTCCTTTCTTAAGAAGTCTCTGAGGTGAAATCACAGGGAATGAGTTGATCCTCTGGGATTCATTTGGCATGCATTACACAGTCAAATAAACTGTTAAAGCAACTCATTTCAAAGCAAATAAAGAAAAAACATACTGGCTTATCAGACATCAGCAGTACTGATGGAGTTGAGTGCATTGTTTGCTGCAGCCATTTTCCTCCCACATGTTTTTCAGGTACATGGCAGAGCAACTGTGACTCATCATACAGAGCCATTTACATAAGTTAGGAAGCGACTGTAAAACATCAACAGCCATTTTATTCAGTATTTATTTTTTTATGAAAATCTTAATGTTATATTTCACATGAAGATACAAAGAGTCACTGTATATTTTTTGAGAACGTCTTGTTGATAGTTGTAGTTAATGATGCATAAAGTTTATTATCTGATTCTCTGTGATAAAATGTACAAGAAGCAAAGAAAAGTTCCAGAAGAGTCGCTACGGTGTGAAAGAGATGCTGCACTTCAAATGCTGAACTCAGACATCAACACATAACACATCCATAAAAAAACAAAACAAAAAGGAACCATTGCAAAATCTCCACTTCAAATTTGAGTTCATACTGTGAATAATTACAGTCATTTATCCAGAGAGGGGTAAGACTTGAGTAGAAATGTGTCTGACTGCAGAAGATTGAATCCCATAGGGGTTTTAGAAGTGATGAACCAAGTCTCTCTCCATATATATTTGCCATTGTGTGCAAGTGAACTTGTGACAAATACTGTAATGCAGAACACTGAAGCATTCAGGTTACTGCGTTGGTTCTGATCAGCATTATTTCTGAGTTCATTCCATGAACCATGAGGTGATGGTGTTTGTATATCTGTCTCTACTTTATTTTGGCAGTTGCCCTAAAAAGCCACTTTATTCTGGTGCTACACATGTGGTGGATAGGAGGGAAATTAAAATCCTCAGAATTCAGCTGCAGTCAGATGTTTTCTCTTTCAGCTGCCGCATTTGGGTGATGTGGACCCAAATGATAACCGAACGTGGTGCTGTAGAATCCAACCGCAGTGGCCACCGTTCAACCCCGGCAGGGCAGCACTGAGACGGCTTTAGGCAAAATATCACAGAACTAAACAAATTTACACAAAAATGTTAACATTTGTACAAACATGTAACGGTAGATCTCTTTCAAGTCAATTTAGACAGTTCACCTGAAAAAAGTTGATTTGGGGTCGGTTATACTTTCAGGTAAAAAATCATGCACTTTTTTGTCAGGTTAGAGCTTTTTGGAAAATAATACATTACCTTTAGACAATTGTTTAATGTTTCCGTCACAGCCTGAAATTTATTAAATAATCTTCTGCTAATTCTTTCTCCAGGTCTGACAACTCTGCAGGTTGTTCTGGACATCGCAGCAATAAAGGAGTGGCATGTGACAGCCATCAATGTGGGAAACCTCAAAGATGAGAAGAAGGACGAAGCTTACCGCTCACTCTTCCAAGATCTGGAGAGCAAGAAAGAGAGGAGGGTGATCCTGGACTGCGAGCAGGACAAAGTGAAAGACATCATGGAGCAGGTGCTGTGCAGTTTTCTAAATGTGCTCTGTGGACAGACAAGTGTGTGCAATAGGTTTGAACAGCGTGTGGTATAATCATGAATTGTGTAGTGATTCTTATTTATGAGTCCACTACAGAAACTTTAGCATGATGGTTCTTTGTTGCTTGCTGTTTAAGTGAATTTCGACCTTCAATTTAATTGAAATATTTCAGTAATGTGGAAATGGATGCAATAATTAAAACAAGTACAGAAAAAAACTTTAAAGCAAGGAACAATAACAACTCAATTATAGCAAAATTACCCATTAGACCAGAAATTACATTCAGTAATAATAAACCCATTCAGAAAAACAATTCCTGATGAACTAGAACCTTCCACTGATTTAAATTTGAACCAGAATAATTATACTGATTGCATGTTTAGTCTGTAAACAAAACTTCAATTAAAGATGATACAAATGAAGATGAACAAGGTGTTTTTATTTAAATTCGTACTCATTATAGAAAGGTTTTGATTAACATTAGTGGTTGGAAACATCTTTTTAGCAAATCACTGGCTCAAGTGTCTGCAGCCAGTCGCCTCTTAAGAGAATCTGTTCAGGCAAAAATTGTATTTATTTTAGACGTTATTTTGTAGTCTCTAAGTTGCAGATTTCCTTCATTCATTAATCACTGAATATTTTATTTCTCGCCTGTGTTCAATAATTTTCCCTTTTGTTATTTTCCATTATTAGACACCTTAATTTCTGAACCTACTTGTTTTGACTTCTTTCTATGTATAGATTAGTTTGGTTATAACAACACCTGGTGAAAACTTATTGTCAATTAAACCTTTAGAAATATTTTTACAATTAAAAATGGTGATGGTTCAATACGTATTTTACCCAGTGTACATCAGTGTTTAGAAATATTTGTTTTTCTTTACTGTAGGTATGTAGTGTTTTATATATGACATGATTTACATTTGTTTTTTGTGAATGACAATTAGCCATTTAAAACAAGAATAATAGTTCCATTATTTAAAAAATAAATGTTGTATTTACTGTGTTTAGTCACAACACATTCTCTCAAATTATCCCATATAAAGTCATAGTCACTGTAATAATATGATGTGCTGAATTCTTCCATGTAATATATATGTTTATGACCCCATAGGTCATCAAAATTGGCCAACATATTAAAGGCTATCACTACATCATTGCTAATCTGGTGAGTTTAAACATGTTTATCCATTTCGTATAATGTTCCTCCTTTATATTACCGCATAGTTTTTTAAATCAATTTGTTTCCCTACATTTAGACAACAATCCCAGAATAAATGATTTCCATTCTACTTTCAGGGTTTTGTTGACGGAGACCTTTCCAAAATTCAGTATGGTGGAGCTAATGTGTCAGGCTTCCAGATTGTTGATTTCGAAGAACCTTTGGTCTCAAAGTTTAACCAACGATGGGAAGCACTGGAGGAGAAGGAATATCCAGGAGCAGACAGCAAAATACGGGTCAGCTTAAGCATTTGACTGTTTTATTTTATCTGATTTCATTTTACAGGATTCTATTGAAATGTATTTGTTAACAAACATTCTTATTTTTTTTTTTTACCTTTGAAAAGTGTTCCCTACAAATGGAACAAATAAATAATGATGCAAAATTATTCAATAATAAAATAACATAACAGAACCTAGTAAATGTTGGCACTCAGGAAAGCCAAGATAATCTGCCAGCTAAAGGGAATTATAAAGGCTCATATTATGAAAAAAAATAATAACTTTTTTCAAATTATGACAATAACACGTTTTGGAAAAATGGTGAGATAGAGCAGCGTTGGGTTTGGGGATGATGAAACCTTGGGAAGAAAATATTTCTTTTGGTTTAAGTATTTCATAATCACCATCCTGTGTTAATGTATCAGTTCCAAAACGAAACTGTCCAATTTTTCTGTCAGGGAAAACAAGTTGACTTTGGAATTCAAAATGTGGGATCTATATGTTGTAGAGCAAAATTCAATAGTTAAATGGAGTGAAATAATCTAGTTTACACATAAATGATAATGCAGGGAACAAAACTGCAAACTTAAGTTTTATCATTTGTCATTTCTCCACTACTTCAGCCAGTTCTGCCCCAGGCTGTCCTGCTTTCCTGTCAAGTCTCCCGTTTTGGCCGGGAAACTGACGTATTTTATGACATGCTCCCGTATTTGTATTTTCTCATAAATTTTCCATGTAATAGTAACTACGTCACTGATGACCCTAATAGAGACACTCCGAGCTGCAGTAGAACCGTTAACCTTGACAATGGAGAAGTGGTTATTGTTAAAATCACATTCTATTTTAGTCTGTATGCTTTGTTGCAAACCAAATCATTCCAGCACAGAAACCAATTTTATTGTATTAATATATCAATGTTCTGCGTGGTGACTCAGTTGCACTGCATGCATGGCTTCTTTCTTGGTTTTCCAGCTTTCTCCTACAATTGAGCCTTTGCCAAATGACAAAGATCAATTGTTTTCTCTAAATTACTTGTAGGAGTGAGAGTCTGCAAGGCTGAATCTCTGAGTTGTCCTGTGACGGACTGCTGACCTTTCCAGGGTCTCTGGCCCTGGAAAGGAGATGTAGCTTAAAACTAGGAGATGTAGCTTAAAACTAGAATCAGTTTTACTTTGACGTTGTGGGTGTCTGTTAGTTTAGTGTTTGTCTAAACATTTTGTAAAGAACTCTATCATCATGTCCTATTTTTTCCGTTTCAGTATACATCAGCGCTGACCTACGACGCTGTCCAGGTGATGACAGAAGCCTTCAGATACCTTCACAAACAGCGCGTTGACTTCACAAGGAGGGCCAACACAGGGGACTGTCTGGCTAATCCTGCTGTGCCTTGGGCTCAGGGAGTGGAAATTGAGCGAGCGCTGAAACAGGTAACTGTCTTCCTACAGGTTCCTGTCATAACTTGAATAAAATTAAAATGTATTCGGAAATGACACTAATCATTTTGGACGCTTTGGATTATTTTCTAAATTAATGATTTACATTTGCAAATCATTTGTTTATTTTAATGTATTTACAAAATGTGTAGAACTTTAGAATCTGGAGAGAGTCCTACCTTCCTTACACATATACACAAACTAAGACCTTCATAAGAAGTTTGTGTACAAAACAAAAAAACAGCAAATTTTAGTTTTTAGGTGAACCCAAAATTTGCTTTTTTAAATTCACAGCAGAGTTGCACATGTACACCTCCACAAATAATCTGGACTTTCTAATCAAATAAATCAGACCGAGTTTGATTAAGCGTGGCTGGTGTGAATACACAGTTGTAAGGGGGAGAAGTACTTTTTTCTCAGCATTTCCATATTTATCTTGGTGATGAATCCGTTACATTTCAATGTGTCAGTTACGTACACCAACTCTTAAATTAATCAGTTGATTAGTGTGAATACATCCAGCAGTGACCACACACTGACACATGCAGGAACCAATCTACCATCACAAGTGTCTTTTCTAAATACTCTGTCCATTTCCGAATGGGCAGAGCATGACAGAGAGAGAATCCCAACAAGAGGCGTAGTATTATTCATTTCATGCTCTGTGATGCCAAAATGCATTCACAACTAGTTAGACTGGTGAGGACCTGTTGCTGTGGTAACAGGAGCTCTCCCTTAGAAAATGCTCCCAAAAAGCTGAAATTATTCCAAAGACAGAGAGATTGATCAAAGACTGAGGTTCTTAGCTTGCATTATTCATGTGTTTACTGAGAATGATGAAAAAATGATCCAGAATAGGTTTGATAGATAAATTAGTGCCAATATGTCTTCTTTTCTCTGACATGTTTTCCATTTTGCGGCACCAATAACATGCCAAACTCTGTGCAGATTCAAAAGAAAACAGATTAATCAAATAACACGAGGAACAAAAGTCATCTGAAGCTCCATTTACTGTCTACAAGGGGATATGAGCTCTAAAGGCATATTTCTGAACTTAAATCTTTCCTAATTGTGATGTACTCTTTCCACTATTATTTTCCAAACTCCTTTTAATGTTATTGACATCTTTATAGTATATTTTTAAAATCATATTTCTCTTACTCATTATTGATCAGGTATTTAAATTTGTCAGCCTTTTTTTCTCTTCAGAGAAGCAACACCTGGCCCAACATTTCCGGTTAGCCATGGCACCTTCCTGAAGGTGTCCATCGACAGAACTGTTGTTCCCAATAATCCCATGTTAGATTTCTATAGATGATAAACGATGTCTTTCTCCTAGATACAACAACTGAAGGCTTGTTGTGACTACTTATGTACTTTCCAAAACTTTTCTGTGCTGCAAATAAGCAGCGACATATAAATTCAGCATATTTACTTTAGAAAGGTCTACACAACTGTTCATGTATAGTGCTAGCATATCTCCAAATGCTCTGCTGTATCAAAGAAAGGTTTGAGTTTTCCTTTTTGCATCAAAATAAAAACATTTGCAAGGTCAATTGAGAAATATTTCTGAGTTTTCTTGGATTAAAAAATGATAAAAATCAGCTTTTTGAAAGGTTATCAAGCAAAAAAGACAGAAATGACAAATATCACCATCTGTTTGGGATGTTAAATAGACTCATTATGTCTTTTCATAAATTGCTCCACCTAACCATCATGAACAGTAACTCTGGACTGGCTAGCTCAAATGAAAGTCTTTCCAATCTTTAACATGGACATTTAAAGATCATTTTGAAGTTTGGATTCATATTTAAAAGCAGCTAAAGTTGACCAGTGTAAACAAACATAAAGGTTTAACTTTGTGTCTGCCAGGTGAATGTGGACGGCCTTTCTGGAAACATCCAATTTGATCAACATGGCAAGAGACTCAATTACACAGTGGGTGTGATGGAATTAACAGATAATGGTCCTGTGAAGGTAAGTGTCTACAATGTCCTCATAGCAAGATTCAAACAAGAACTGCTTCTATTTATTGCTTGTGTTTTGTGTTTATTTTTCTGTCTTTGTATTTTGTTGTATGGTGTACTAATCGACTATGCATGCAATGAATGCATAAAGCTAAACAAAAGTATATCTTATGAAATGTCAAATTTTTGTGTCCATTTTTTTACTCTTAATATTGTTAATATTTTGTGTATGATGTAGCAAAAAATCAAATATTTCTATTCCTATTTCATGAAAAAGATCAATAAAACAAAAATCTTTTTTGCTGAAACTTCTGTGATTATCGGTATTGTGATTCTATGTCGTGTACTTTTCTTTAAATCTGCAATGTCAAGGTAGCTCATAAACTTTCTGCTTTTTTCTCCCTGTAGATTGGATTCTGGAATGAAAACAACAAAATGGTTGTGACCAAAAAAGATATCTCTAGCAACGACACAATCGGGGGAAACAAAACAGTTGTTGTCACCACCATTTGGTAATTTTTAAGATTATTTCATTTTTATAAACTTTTTTTTTTTTCGCCATTATCCGTTTACATTTTCTTTTTCAGTGCAAAAGTACTTGTACAACAGCACTAAATGACTGACACCAACAAACAATGAAAGTGACCATAAATTAACAAAGAACACAAATTAGGAAAGAAATTTGAAAAATGTAAAGACAACTGACAGAAAGTATCACAACAATTAGACAACACATAGACTTTGACAAATGTTTCACGATGCATTTATAACTGATGCAACAGAGGAGTATTTAATTTGGAGGCCAGCTGATGAACAGTAAACCTGGGACAAATACTTTATGTTTGAAATCATTTCCCTCATTGTAATTAAGCCTCGTTCTCCTCCTTCAGGAAGCTCCGTATGTTATGCTGAAAAAGAACGCCGACCAGTTTGTGGACAATGAGCGCTATGAGGGTTACTGTGTTGATCTGGCTGCTGAAATAGCCAAACACTGTGGCTTCAAGTATGAGCTGAGAATCGTGGGTGATGGAAAGTACGGAGCCAGAGACGCAGAAACCAAAATCTGGAATGGAATGGTTGGAGAGTTGGTGTATGGTGTAAGTTAAACATCCTGACTGCATGGCTTTAATAAGTGTTAGTAAATACCTTGTAACCCACATTTTACTACTTCACCTGATCCCTATGAAAATGGTTATATTCAAATAATATTTGATGGTGTGTGTTTTTAAAAGTTAGTGGTTTTCAGCAAGATTTCAAAAAGGTTTCAGCTTCATAATAACCTTCACTGAAGATGAGTCTTTTTGCTGCTTTATTCTTCTTGACAGAAAGCAGATATCGCAGTGGCGCCTTTGACCATAACATTGGTGCGAGAGGAAGTGATTGACTTTTCTAAGCCTTTTATGTCTCTGGGAATCTCCATCATGATCAAGAAGCCTCAGAAATCCAAACCTGGAGTGTTTTCTTTCTTGGACCCTCTGGCCTATGAGATCTGGATGTGCATCGTTTTTGCTTACATCGGCGTCAGCGTGGTGCTGTTTCTTGTCAGCCGCTTCAGCCCCTATGAGTGGCACACTGAGGAGTACGAAGACGGCCAGATCCAGACCAATGAGTCGACTAACGAGTTTGGCATATTTAACAGCCTGTGGTTCTCACTTGGAGCCTTCATGAGACAAGGATGTGACATCTCTCCCAGGTAGGTTAACAAATAATCTGTCTGCTAATTGCTGAACACAAGAATGAACTGGAATTAAATTATACATTTGCATTTGCTTTCAAACTTTTTCTCATTGTTTTTTGTTTTTTCTCGTAAGTCTTTTCTTCTTTCTGCTTCGACTAATTTTAACGTTTTACTGCAAAACATTACACATTTTGCAGTGAGTATGTAATGTGATTGAAGGAGTTATGTAAGAAATCTCCAACATCTTATTAATGTTGGCACTTTACTATGTCCAGCTGAAAAACAATTATAATAATTTAGTTTGGTAATTATCTACAAGAAAAGACCTCTACATTTCATGCCAACTTTTGATTCGGTTAAAATACATTTCTATCAGTATTGATACAATTGAGCTAGAGCTCCTTTGGACTCAATATGCTGTGCCCTAACAATATGCTTATGTTGGCAGATCCTCAACAATGGTTTAATTATTTTAGTGCTTTCTCAGAGTTTAAGGCTTTTAAGTAAAGCCCAAAGACTAAAACTTTACCAATGCCTTTATCAAATCTTTACTATTTTCTTACATCTGCTAAACAAAAAAACAAACAAATACATAAATAGAATGAACACTAAATGAATTTATAGTTTTATGTATTTACTGCACAGAATACATTCCGTTTTTTGGATGAGATAAGTTTAATTTTCTAAAATTAGCTAGTTTATTAGTTGGTCATCTGCTTGGCTTTTCAGCCTGTAGTTTGTTGCATTGCAGATCAGATATGCCACCTGGAGGTTACCAACTGGATTTTTAAAACAGTTTTTGCTCATAAGGACAATGCATGGAAGTCTTTATTTTTAGGCTTTTTGTGACTGGAACCAATTTTTCTTTCTTATAATCATCTTTACAGCAAAATTTCCATACCAAATCAAAATTGTTATGCAAGTATTTCATATTTTGCAATAAAAAACAATAAAATTACTGACCCATTCACATGGAGAAGTGGATTTTCAAAATCTTTCAAAGAACATTGGCAACCCAATGGTTCCGATTGGTTTTCAGATTAAATATATGACACCTTGCATAGCTTGGTCCAGTTTGTGATAGTTTATGTGCATAGACACTACATAGTGACAGCACAAATTTGTTCTTTTCCCGATGCAATTAAAATGTAAACTTAGCGGCATTAGCAAATGCATTACTTCTGTGTCTTAGCAGCCAAAGTAATGACTCACATATTTTACAAATAAATGGTCTTTTATATCTGCTATGTCTGAGAACTCTGTGGGTAAAAGCTCTTATCGTGTGCCATAATTTCTAACCTAGCAGCTGAAGAAAAACAAACATATTCAAGAGGCATTTCTGCTCACTCCCCAGTTCAGGGGAATATTTACAATAAGTGTAGAGTTTGTGTAACAAAGTTGATGTTTCTAAAGAAATAGTCTCATTTACTGCTTTTACTGTAAATAGTTCAGAATGAATTTGAACATAGATGAATTGAAAGCCTGTGAGAGTAGTGCTGAGCAGTGAGTTTCGAGCTCCAGAGATGAATCAGCCGATGGGTTGACATACCCTTTACATCACACACTGATGATGTGAAAGGTGTCAACACCACTCCAGATCAATGTTGCATGTTTCCCAACAATTGTGTTGCCAAATTAGAACATGTAGTTCAACTGCTTAAACTTTTGAACTTTGGTCATTTTTTATTTCTCACAAGTGCCACATTTGCAAGAGAGACAGACATTTTTTATCTTGTCTTGCTTAAACTTTAGAGTGGAAATGCAAATTTTTTACATGACTTGTTAATGATCAGAAAATATTTTTTAAAAAGCTTGGCAGTTGTTTGAAGGTCAAGTAGCGTAATGTCAATAAATTGAAGCAGAAGATCTTGTTGATAGTGATTGTTAGAGGATAAATCCTTTTGTTTATTTTTGTTTCCTTTCCCGCCGTAGATCCCTGTCTGGGCGAATTGTTGGCGGCGTCTGGTGGTTCTTCACTCTAATCATCATCTCCTCCTACACGGCTAACCTGGCTGCCTTTCTGACTGTGGAGAGAATGGTTTCTCCCATTGAAAGTGCGGAGGATCTGGCCAAACAGACGGAGATAGCATATGGAACTCTGGACTCTGGCTCCACTAAGGAGTTTTTTAGGGTAGGAGATTCTCAGCTTTTTCCTTCGTCTGTTGCCGTGGAAACCACTACTTTTAGCTGTTTCCTGTTATTTGAGTCTGTTAAGGCAGTAAACACCTCAAATGTGTGTTCATTCAGTGCATTGAATACGTACTGCCCCTCTTACAGATTTCTAATGGTTTTGCTCTTTTGTCTTACTGAAATGTTATTAATGATGAGCTAAGTGAATGCAAAAGGCAACTTTTAAATGAGTTTAATAACATTTCTGAAGGAAAATGGACAACCAAAAAAAAAACATTTCCATTCATTAAAAAGTAACTACCTCCAGGTAAAATCCCAGATTAACCGATTAATCACACTTTTTTGACCAGTTTCACTTGCCGTACCACGATGTCTTTAATTCCAGACTTCAAAATCAAGACCTTTTATGAAGATATGAAGTATTCATGTATAATTTTAAATAAAAGGGGAAAAAAGCTGTTGTATGTCAGTAGATTTCTTTACATTGTGCAACAATGTAAAGAAATCAAAGTTCTCTGTACTCTGTGACACCATAATTGGTTTTTAGCAGTGTGTCCTCCCTCTGTAACAGACTTGCCCTTTCTAATGGCAACCCATGTGCATCATACATTATTCCTCTATATAAAAAAGTCAATAATAGATGAGAAACAAAGTCATGAAAATCTATCAAGTTCAAGCAGTCTGCACATCTTTCCAGAAAAAGTAGCTGAATTAGTTGCTGCATGACTGAATGATGTCAAACTTGCAAAGGCATAGAA